AAATATTCCATGTGTTGATGTAAGCAAGGACCATATTTTACACCACACTTCCTGGACAGACAGAAACACAAATTCCCAAAGGATCCATCTGCTCAATACCACTGCAATCCTTTACAAGCTTCTCTTTCATGAGGAGGAATGTTGTTCAATTGTTAAGTCCACCAACTTCTCATTTTTTCAATTTATTTTCTTTTGCATCTCAGATGCAGAAACTAGAATCATCTCAACAATCTTCATGTTATAGTATGACTTTGTTCCAAAAAAAAAAAAACAGCGCTGAAAAACAGGAAGCCAGGGTCATTTCCTTGGCGTTTCATGTGATGTGAACTCAACCTTCCTGCCATTGTTAGAATGTTGTTCCTTCCCAGGATCATTTCACTCAGTATTATTCCAGGCTGGGGATCCTTTTCCTTTTCCTCACTAAGACACCGCTGCAAAAGGTAAACTTCAGTAAGGCATTTGCTAAAGTATATTACAACCTACTACTTGATAAGATAGAAAAATGTGGGTTAGGCAGCATCACCACCAGATAGATTTGTAGCTCAGCCCAAAGAGGTTTTTTTTTCTCCTTTTCCAGCTGCAATCTGAAAGGCTGAGAAGTTCAGGCACATCAAAGAGTCTAGTTGCTATCTCTGGGCTTCAAGTCAAGGTCACTCCTTCCAAGCAACGTGCAAAGCAAGGTCTTAGTGCTGTTCCTTTTGTCACCACTAGATGTCATTAAATGTGTGTTTTTCAACCAGGACTTATTTCTCAAAGGTTCAATCGGGTATTTTTCAAAAAAAAGGATAAAGTTTTCAAAATATTTTAAGTCTCCCAAATTTTTCAGTGTTGAAACTTTGAGGAGCACCCGGAGGCTTCAAATGGTCCAGAATGTGGCCGCGCGGGCGGTGTTGGGAGGGACTCGTCGCTCCCATGTGACACCGCTGCTGCGCGAGCTGCACTGGTTGCCAGTGGCCTTCCGGGTGCGCTTTAAGGTGTTAGTTACCACCTTTAAAGCGCTTCATGGCATAGGACCCGGTTACCTCCGAGACCGNGCCCCCACCCTCTGGAACGAACTACCCCCCGAGATTCGGATAATTCCGGATCTCCTTACCTTCCGTCGCGCCCTCAAGACATGGCTCTTTCAGCAAGCGGACCTGACCTAGGGTGGATTTTATACTGGGTTTTTTAGGAATTTGAAAGACGCAACTCTAAATTTGGTTTAATTCGGTTTTAAGGGGGGGATTGTATATAGGTTTTGGTTTTAAGTATGTTGTGCGCCGCCCTGAGTCCCGTTGGGAGAAGGGCGGCATATAAATTAAATTAAATAAATAAATAAATAAATAATCTATCTGCTTTCTCCCCAAAAATATTGAACCATCGCTGTTCTTCTAGAGCAGACATGTCAAACACAAGGCCCGGGGGCCGGATGCGGGCCGCGAAGTGGTTTCATGCGGCCCACGAAGCCATCCTGGAAACAGTGAGGTAATGCCTTGGCCCTGGCCCAGGCCGGCCGGGAGCCAATGTACAATTTTGTGGTGCCTTGGCCCTGGCCCAGGCCGGCCGGGAGCCAATGTACAATTTTGTGGTGGCCATCTATGCTGAAACGCATTCAGTCTTAGTTCCACAAGGCCATCTAGAAACAGCGAGGAACCAGCCCCTACTGTGTCGGCCCCGCCCCCTGGGTACATGCTGGGGAGGTGTCACCCTTTGTGAGGAATGAAGAAATGGACCATGCCTTGGCGCTTGCCCGGGTCCCACCTCCTTCTGCCAGAGAACCTCAGATCTGTCCGACTCCTGCCCAGACCCCCACAGGCACCCTTGACGAGAACGATGTAGAGCTGGCCATGCCCACCCAGTAGGCCACACCCACTCCATCCACGCCCACCCAGTAGGCCGCACCCATCCTGGCCGCACCCCCCCCGGCCCCTTAGGGCAACTGCAATGCTGATGCGGCCCTCAATGAAATTTAGTTTCATTGAGTTTCCCCCTGTTCTTGGGGGAGGGACACCAAGGAACCCCCTCTCCATCTTCTTGCTTCTTGGAGCCTTGCTTTTTGGGATTCTTTTCTTCAGGGAATTTTTTTAAAATTGTAGAGCAGGAAAAATACACCCAGTTCCAAATGCGTTGCTTAAACTGCTGAATAGTGCTTTTTTTCCTGGCTGTTGGTAGCTTCTGACTGGCTGCTGGATTGCAGCCAGTTTTTCACCTGTTAGTTCAGAGGGCTTCCTCAGATCGAACGGCTGAACCACCATCTCACCATGATCTATGAGGGTCCCCTCCTTCTTTGTGGCATCTCTGGAGTGACTTTAGGTCCCAGCAGGATGCAATTTGTAGCTGGCTGACTGGCCGTACTCAGCGTGTGGCCCTCAATGGAACTGCATCTACCTGGAGGGAAGTGTGTAGTGGGGTGCCCCAGGGCTCTGTTCTGTGCCCAGTGCTCTTCAACATCTTCATCAATGATTTGGATGAGGGGATAGATAGGGAACTCATCCAATTTGCAGACACCAAGCTGGCAGGAATAGCCAACACTCCAGAAGATGGGCTTAAGATACAGGAGGATCTTGACAGACTTGAACATTGGGTGCTATCTAACAAAATGAAATTCAATAGTGAAGAAAATAAGGATCTACATTTAGGCAAGAAAAACCAAATACACAGGTATGGTATAGGTCAGTGGTGGCGAACCTATGGCACGGGTGCCAGAGGCAGCACTCAGAGCCCTTTCTGTGGGCACGTGCACCGTCGCCCCAGTCCTAGGCCTTCAGCTGGGTTTTATAAAACCTTTTTACTTTAGGCCTCCGCCGCCGTGTGCAAAAAAAAAAAGGTCAATCAGTCAATTTTAACTTCTCGCGGGAAAAAAAAAGATCTTGCAAAGTTGGAATTGATTGATTGAACTTGTTAGTCCCACCCAGTCTGCCGTTATCACCGCAGCCACGCCCACCCAATCGGCCACACCCAGCCAATGGGCCATACCCACCTGGCACTCAACGATGCGTAAGTGGGTTTTTGGATTGCAGTTTGGATACTCAGTCTCTAAAAGGTTCGCCATCACTGGTATAGGTGGTACCTTGCCTAATAGTAGTAACTATGAGAGGGATCTCCGAATCCTAGTGGACAATCACTTAAATATGAGCTAGCCGTGTGCTGCAGCTGCCAAAAAAGCCAACACAGTGCTAGACTGCGTTAACAAGAGGGATAGAATCAAGATCACGGGAAGTGTTATACTTTACAATGTCTTTGTAAGGCCACACCTGGAATACTGCATCCAGGTTTGGTCACCACAATGTAAAAAAGATGTTAAGACTCTAGAAAGAGTACAGAGAAGAGCAACAAAGATGATTACCACACTGGAGGCTAAAACATATAAAGAATGGTTGCTGGAATTGGGTATGTCTAGTTCAGGGGTAGGCAACCTTGGCTCTTTTATGACTCATCGACTTCAACTCCCAGAATTCCTGAGCCAGCCATGAGGAATTCTGGGAGTTGAAGTCCACGCATCATAAAAGGGCCAAGGTTGCCTACCCCTGGTCTAGTTTAATGAAGAGAAGGATGAGGGGGCGACATGATAGCAGTGTTCCAATATCTGAGGGGTTGCCACAAAGAAGAGGAAGTCAAGCTATTCTGCAAAGCACCTGAAGGCAGAACAAGAAGCAACTGGTGGAAACTAACCAAAGAGAGAAACAACCTAGAACTAAGGAGAAAATTCCTGACAGTTAGAACAATTAATCAGTGGAACAACCTCCCTCCAGAAGTTGTGAATGCTCAAACATTGAAAATTTTTAAGAAGAGACAGGACAACCATTTGTGTCTAAAATGGTATAGGGTTTCCTGCCTAAGCAGGGGGTTGGACTAGATGACCTCCTTACAGTCCCATAAGGTATTAATCTTGTGAATTCTCAAGCTTCCTCCTTCCACTATGTATTCAAGATGGACAGTGATTAACATTTATATCTATTTACATGTAAGGGTGTAGGTATATACATATGTTGTATATAGCATGTTTATATGTGTGTTATGTATGTGTACATAAAATGACAAAAGGATATCTACCGTATTTTTCTGCCTATAAGATCCACCCTTGTATAAGATGCTCGAGCATGCGAGTTTCTCCGCGCTGATCAGCTGTTTGACGCAGCGCCGAACAGCTGAGCCGGCAAATCCGGATGTTCGGCCGCCTGACGATCTTGCCCTCTCCCCCCTCCCGTTAGTGGCAAGCCCACAGGGGCCTGACACTGTACCAGGCATGGCAACCCACACAGGCATGCCCTGGGCTGCGGAGGTTACCATTATTTTTCTGTGTATAAGACGCTGCATTTGTATAAGAGGCACCTGATTTTTGAACAGGGTGTTTGCAGGAAAAAATAGCATCTTATACACCGAAAAATACGGTATCTTTCTATTTATCTTAAAGACAAGAGTGGGGAACATACTTAATTAATGTCTAATAACTAAATGTCTCAACATGAAGCACAAGAAACATATAAAAAGTCTGTATTCCATTCCAGTTTCTTAAACTCCTTGAGTTCTGGAAACCTTATGAACCCTAATGTTTGATATATGTAGATCTTAAATTTGAAAAAAACGTAGCCCACTGTTTCGGAAAAAAAGAAATAGAAAATCCTACAAATATAAAACCACACTTGATGGACAGACAAACACAGAAATACCCAGAGGTTAGAATGCTGTACTGCAGGCTACTTCAGCTGATTGACACCTCCCAGTAGTTCGGCAGTTTAATTCTCACTGACTCAAGGTTGACTCAGCCTTCCATCCTTCCGAGGTCGGTAAAATGAGGACCCAGATTGTTCAGGGCACTATGCTGACTATAAAAACCGCTTAGAGAGGGTTGCAAAGCACTGTGAAGCAGTACATAAGTCTAAGAACTATTGCTATTGCTTTCGCAATCCTTTACCAGCTCAGAAAAAGACTCCCTTCCATAAAGATGAATGTTGTTCAGTGGTTAAGTCCACCATCTTCTCATTCTTTGAATTTATTTCCTTTTTCATCTCAGATGCAGAAACTAGAGTCCTCTCAAGAACCTTCCTAGCAACAAAAGTTCATTCTTGGGTGAAGAGCAATCAGTCCTGCAATTACCGGAATAGTCCTATGAATTGAAAGGTGTTTGGAGATCCACAAGATTCCTCTGACCTATCTGGAATTTCCTTCCAGGACAGACAAAGGATGCAGAAACAACCGTTAGCAAGTGAGGGAACTGGAAAAGGCCCCTCTGCTGTTGAGCCTGGCAGCTGTGGGAAGATTTGGGCAAGAACTGGGCAGAAGATCCTGGAGGAGAAAACCATCATCCGTTCAGAGATTCAGCCCTGCAACCTCAGAAACATCCTGTACCAGGAAACGGAAGGTCCCCGAGGACTTTGCAGCCGACTCCACAATATTTATAGTCAATGGCTGAGGTTAGAAACCCACATTGAAACCCAAATGTTGGACTTGGTTGTTCTGGAGCAGCTCCTGGCCCTTCTGCCCCCTCTGATGGCAAACTGGTTGCGGGAGTGTGGAGCAGAGACCAGCTCCCAAGCGGTGGCCCTGGCGGAAGGCTTCCTCATGAGTCAGGCAGAGGAGCAGAAGGAGCAAGTCAAATTGCAGGTGAGACACCTTCACCTTGGAAGTCCAGAAGGGAATAAAGAATGTGTTTGAATTATTCACCCCTCCCTTCCCTACTTTTCTGCTCTTCATAATATGTGGAGATGTTTCACTAGTTCTTGCAAGACATTGTTCCATTATCTATTCTAGAAGATAGACTGGAGACAGCTGTTCCTTTCTTACATTCTAGGCTCATTGATTGATATTGTGGGATTGAAGTTGTTTTTAGAGAACAATAGTCCATGTTGTATAATGTCTTATTCAAGTTTTTCCCTCTGCAGAGTAGAAATCCTATGAGAATCAGGAATCCATCAAATCTCCCTCTGGAGCTGCTTTTCAGGAGGATCTCTCAGGATGCCGCAAGTCAGGACATCTCAGATGGTAATCAAAAATCCACCTATTCCTAAGAGAGGTCTCAGCTCTCTTTCTCTATATCTTCTCTTCTTTAGAATGCCTCCTGTTATTTTGTTTATTATCCATTGAAAAATTCTGTCTCCCTCACAGGGAAGAATAGAACGAATTTGACTCCTTTCTATGGTGGTGCTGAAAGAGTGGTTGAAACTCAAACTCAAGTAAGAGAAGGATAATAAAAAATAAAATTTTCAGTGTTAGTGTTTGCTGAATGGTGATCCTTTTATTAATTCTTTGAAGTGGAATTGTGCAAGGCTACTCAATAATAACTGAAGGAATCACATTGGCACCTTACAGCTTCCAAAAAGCCTTGTTGATAGCCAATGATAAGAAAAATAATGGCACCAGGTTAAAAGATGAAGCAGACTGTTAAAATCCAAAGGGGGTGGGCAGATCAAGGCTCTTTAGCCTTTAAAAGAATTTCTAATACTCCAATTTGTGCCTGGAATTTGGGGCCAAACAATCCAGCTTTGAAAAGGATGAGAAATGCTCTTCCCAGGCAGGTTTCTCTTCTTCAGCCATTGGGTTGGGGTACAAGCAGTGGATTCCTTGTAATCTGAGGAACAGCCGTAACAGGGCTTGTGTGCCTTTGTCTATTGATGATACCCATGTAAATCTCTGGGTGGCTCTCAAACAACTTTAATGAAGGTTTTGAGCATGGATAAAATTGTGTGTTCTGGAAACACCACAAGGCTTTTACTTAAATGGTAAAAAGAACCCCTTCACGTGTATTTTCTTCTGCAAACGCTGCGTGTATGGGAGTGAGTGATAGGTGGGGGTTCCAAGGCCCATTCCAGTTGATTCTCTCCAGATGCTGAAAGTCTTGCAGATGGATGGGGATAGATAGACAGACAGAAAGATCCTGATGAAAAGTGGGATTCCTTTCACTGAATGGCCTCAAAATGTATATCTTTGTTTGGAATCACATAAAAAATAGTTCAGGTCTTTAAAATCCTCCCCGTTTTTGATCTGTTTTGTTGTCATTCAGAACGGCCTTGTGTCCTTTGAGGAGGTGGCTGTGTATTTCTCCGAAGAGGAGTGGTCTCAGCTGGATGCTGATCAAAAAGCGCTGCATTGGGAAGTCATGCTGGAAAATCATAGGAACGTGGCCTCTTTGGGTAAGAGCCCTTCCAGCTTTTTGTGTATAATAGTCTCATTATGGTTATCATACTGAGAAACAATCTTCAATGACTGTTGCTTAGTGCCAACATAAAGTTTTGATTACAGTTGGATATTAATCTTTAAAGTTCTCATTATCACTGAATGTCTTTGAATTCAAAGTTTTCTAGCTTTTTTACAAGTCCACCAGAGCACGACAAGATGATTGTTTATCTTATCTACGTTTCCAATATTAGTTTGGGGCACACTTCTAAATATTTTTCTGTTCATATTCCTCAGCCTGATTAAAGGTTTTAACAATTACGTATCTTTTGTACACAACTGAGATTCGAATTCCGCTTTATGTTGTTGAACACTATAGTTCTATTCATCTACCTGGAATCTTTCTGACAATATGAAAACGGCTGACAGTTATATCCTTTTGCCATTCTTGACTTAATTTGGTATTCTGCAGCTCAAATTATAATGGCTTTCGACATGTTATCCATTGTTTTTTCCTGCTTCTATTTTCTGCTAAGAGTCATTAAGACGTTTTGGAACACAGCCTGATTTTATATCTGTTTCATATTCTCAATGTGGTATTTCTGACATTATGGTTTTAAAATCTAGATTGAGCCAAAATTTATTCTACCACAAGATCCATGGCATGCAAACCTCTGTCATGCCCTTCTAGTGATAACATTCTCTTAATTCTGAGCAACTCCTGTTTCTTATCCAAACTACCCAGCAGACTGCAAAGTCCAATTTCAAATTGGGCAAACCAAATCCAACCCTTTCCTTTGAATTTTGGAGAATTTGAAATTTAATCTATGGTTTTGCCCTAGCCATACAAAGCTGGATTTATCTTCCAAAATTTAATCAAGAAAATCCAGATCAAATTCTTGAAGGCCTTTTCTGAGAAGATTCAAGCAGTTTGTTTTTTCATTATATTTAAACTTCCTATGCTTTGCTTTTTTTCTCTAAAGTTATTTTTATTTTCCCGTGAAGGTAATGGGGAAGAATATGAAGATTCCTGGGAACTACTCCAAATGATCACTCGTGGGTACAATACGAAGAACGCCACAGATCTAATGGAAGTAGAAAGCCATGAGAGAAACCAGTCAAATAAGTGCAATTGGGAAAATTCATCTTCTATTCATGCACCAACTAAAGCCTCTGTGGTCCAACAAAGGAAAATAAAAAAGAAATATATTGGAAAACATACAAAGGTATTCATAAAGAAATTAGATGTAAATAAATACTATCAAACTCAAACCAAAGGAGAAGATTATATATGTAGAGACAGTGGAAAAAGTTACAAACAGACTTTGTCTCTCCCTAATAAAAATGGGTCTCGTACATCTCAAAAAAGGACCCACACAGGCGAGAAGCCCTATAAATGCATGGACTGTGGAAAGAGCTTTATTTTTAGAAGCTATCTTAAGTCACATAGAAGGATCCATACAGGAAAGAAGTCCTATAAATGCATGGAGTGTGGGAAGAGCTTTACTCAGAACAGTAGTCTTATTTCCCATAAAAGGATCCACACAGGTGAGAAGTCCTATAAATGCATGGAGTGTGGGAAGAGCTTTACTCAGAACAGTAGTCTTACTTCCCATAAAAGGATCCACACAGGTGAGAAGCCCTATAAATGCATGGAGTGTGGAAAGAGCTTCACTTTTAGTACTGCTCTTACTTCGCATTATTGGATCCATACAGGGGAGAAGCCATATAAATGCATGGAGTGTGAAAAGACCTTTACTACGAGCAGCAGTCTTACTTCCCATAAAAGGATCCACACAGGGGAGAAGCCATTTAAATGCAGGGAGTGTGGAAAGAGCTTTACTCAAAGAAACAGTCTTACTTCCCATGAAAGGATCCACACAAAGGAGAAGCCCTATAAATGCACTGAGTGTGGAAAGAGCTTCACTTGTAGTCATTCTCTTACTTTGCATTACCGGATCCATACAGGGGAAAAGCCATATAAATGCACTGAGTGTGGAAAGAGCTTCGCTTGTAGTAATTATCTTAATTCGCATTACCGGATCCATACAGGGGAGAAGCCATATAAATGCATGGAGTGTGGAAAGCACTTTACTCACATAAAGACTCTTGCTTCCCATAAAAGGATCCACACAGGGGAGAAGCCCTATAGATGCATGGAGTGTGGAAAGAACTTTACTCACTTCAAAAGTCTTACTTGCCATAAAAGGATCCACATAAAGGAGAAGCTCTATAAATGCAAGGAATGTGGAAAGAGCTTCACTTGTAGTAATTCTCTTACTTTGCATTACCGGAGCCATACAGCAGGGAACTCATATAAATGCATGGAATGTGGAAAGACGTTTACTCAGAGCCACAGTCTTGCTTTCCATAAAATTATCCACACAGGGGAGAAGCCCTATAAATGCATGGAGTGTGGAAAGAGCTTCACTTTCAGTACTTCTCTTATTTCACATTACCGGCTTCATATAGCGGAGAAGCCCTATAAATGCATGGAGTGTGGAAAGAGCTTTGTTCACAGTAATTCTCTTACTTCCCATTACTGGATCCATACAGGGGAGAAGCCATATAAGTGCACAGAGTGTGGAAAGAGCTTCTGTCACAATTCTTCTCTTACTGTTCATAAACGAATCCACACAGGAGAGAAGCCCTATAAATGCATGGAATGTGGAAAGAGCTTCCATAAAAGCAGTGAACTTATTTTTCATAGAAATATCCACATAGGGGAGAAGCCATATAAATGCATGGAGTGTGGAAAGAGCTTTATTAAGAACTGCCTACTTATTTACCATAGCAGGATACATACCGGGGAGAAGCCATATAAATGCATGGAGTGTGGAAAATGCTTTTCTGTCGCTACTAACCTTACCTCCCATAAAAAGATTCACACGGGGGAGAAGCCTTATAAATGTATAGAATGTGGAAAGAGTTTTTCTACGAAGAGTTATCTTAACATTCATAAAAGGATCCACACAGGAGAGAAGACCTATAAATGCATGAAATGTGGAAAGAGCTTCCATAAGAGCAGTGAACTTATTTTCCATAGAAATATCCACATAGGGGAGAAACCATATAAATGCATGGAGTGTGGAAAGAGCTTTATTAAGAACTGCCTACTTATTTACCATAGCAGGATACATACCGGGGAGAAGCCATATAAATGCATGGAGTGTGGAAAATGCTTTTCTGTCTCTACTAACCTTACCTCCCATAAAAAGATTCACATGACGGAGAAGAGGGAGAAGCCTTATAAATGTATAGAATGTGGAAAGTGTTTTTCTACAAAGAGTTGTCTTAATATCCATGAAAGGATCCACACAGGGGAGAAGCCTTATAAATGCATGGAATGTGGAAAGAGCTTCGCTTCTAATTATTCTCTTACTTTGCATTACCGGAGCCATACAGGGGAGAAGCCTTATAAATGTGTGGAATGTGGAAAGAGTTTTTCTACGAAGAGTTATCTTAACATCCATAAAAAGATCCACTCAGGGGAGAAGCCTTATAAATGCATGGAATGTGGAAAGAGTTTTTCTACGAACAGTTATCTCAACACGCATAAAAAGACCCACACAAGGGAGAAGCCTTATAAATGCATGGAATGTGGAATGAGCTTCACTTTTAATAATTCTCTCACTTTACATTACCGGATTCATACAGGGGAGAAGCCTTATAAATGTGTGGAATGTGGAAAGAGTTTTTCTACCAATAGTAATCTTACCACCCATAAAAAGATCCACACAGGGGAGAAGGCTTATAAATGCATGGAATGTGGAAAGAGTTTTGCTTCGAACAGTTCTCTTTACACCCATAAAAGGACCCACACAGTGTAGAAGCTCTGTAAGTTTGTGAAATAAGAAAAAAACTTCAAGGGGACCAATGGCCGAATGTTCCATATAATTTTGTTTCACTGTTATGCTTAGTTGTTGAAATATATGCATTTTCTAATTATATTTACTGAATTAGGAAAGGGGTTTTTTGAGTCTGACCGACACAACATGAAACCCAAGAGAGATGAATTTACAAATGGAAACCAAATGCTAGGCATGTGGTGTTTTAATCATGAGCAGTGGATTTTTGTAGCTACTGTCATTTGAAGGTTATGTATATATTCCTCCCTTTTTTAACAGCAATTTCGTAATAGTAATCTTCTATTATTTACATTTTCCCCCTTATTCTTCTTTAGAATATTTATCCTTGTTGCCCCGTTGTTTCTTATTTGCATTTTTCGTCCTTCATACTATACTTCATACTACGAATACTATATATTATTATTACTATAAATTATACACACATTTTCCACTTTTGACCTTTCCATATTTATTCTCTATTATTTCTAGTCTCCAACCAGTCATACCACTGGTTCCATATTAGATAGTACGCTGTGTCTTCCTTTTCTTTTATCTCTTTTGTTAATTTGTCCATCTCAGCACAGTCCAGGATTTTTCTTATCACTTCTTCCTCTGATGGTATATTCTCATTTTTCCAGAACTGTGCATCTACTATTCTTGCTGCCATTGTTACAGTATATTTAAAATTAAGTACCGTATTTCTTTACTATATTTTCTGTTTAAAATACCCAGCAAAAAGATATCTGGTTTCCAGTCTACGGGTTGGTCTATTATTTCTTCGATCCATCTTCTTATTTTAGTCCAGTATTTTTTCGCAACTGGGCATGTCCACCATAAATGATAATATGTTCCATGTAATTTTTTACATTTCCAACATGTTGGCGAATTGTTATGGAACATCTTGGCAAGTTTTGTTGGTGGAAGATGCCATCTGTAAAACATCTTCAACTGGTTTTCCTTGAATGCCGCTGACATAGTCAATTTAATATTTATTTCCCATATTTTTTTCCCATTTCTCCAATTCTATATTATATCCGAATTTTTTTGCCCATCTAATCATTGTGTCTTTGACAACCTCGTCTTCCATTTTTTTATTATTTTTTAATTTTTTTTTATTAATTACATTTATCTCCCGCCCTTCTCCTTGCGGACTCAGGGCGGCTAACAATTGGATAAAAAACAAACATATAAAACACCTATTAAAATTGATTAAAAAGAAATATTTAAAATTCATCAGATTAAAAGTAATTAAAACCCCTTTAAAATCCCTTAGGCCAGTCCCGCAAGCTGGAACAACCACGTCTTGAGGGCGCGGCGGAAGGAAGGGAGATCAGGGATCACCCTGATCTCTGGGGGCAGTTCGTTCCAGAGGGTGGGAGCTCCCACAGAGAAGGCCCTCCCCTTTGGGGTCGCCAGCCGGCACTGTCTGGCTGACGGTACCCTGAGGAGACCCACTCTGTGGGAGTGTACCGGTCGGTGGGGGGTAATCTGTGGCAGGAGATACAATAGGTATTTGTATAAATTGCTAATTAATTTTATTTCTGTTCCATGTATAATTTTATCCAATTCTTGCAGCTCTTTTTATATTTCATATAATTTTTTGTCCTCTGTATATTTAGACTGAATTTGTGTAAATGTCCACCAATCAATCTCTCTGCCTATCTCTTGTTCCAATTCTTGTTTTGTTTTCAGATTTTCCTGTTCATTTACTAATTCCTTGTATCTAATTTCCTGCCTGAGCAGGGGGTTGGACTAGATGACTTTCAAGGTCCCTTCCAACTTTACTATTATTATTATTATTATTATTATTATCTTATTTATATCCAGTAGGTTTGGGTGTTTCAGAGCTTCTGTTGGGGATAACCACATTGGAATTCTTATATAATGTTTTTGTTTTATTTTTTCCCAAGTCTGTAGCAATGCATTCCTATGTGTCTTTGAAAGTATCTGTGTATTTTATATTTTTCGTCCCATAGGAAAGCATGCCACCCTGCTTGCAGGTCATGTCCTTCTATTGTTAAAACGCTAGTATTTTTCAAATCCATCCAATCTTTTAGCCAAATTAAGCTCGATGCTTGGTAGTATATTTCCCACTCTGGTAATGCCAATCCCCCTTTATCTTTCATATCTTGCAAGAGTTTTAATTTAATCCTGTTTTTTTTCCTTTGCCATATAAATTTGGTGACCAATTTATTTAATTCTTGAAAGAATGTTTTCCCTAATTTTATTGGAATAACTTGGAACAGAAATAATATTTTTGGCAATATATTCATTTTGACCTCCCTAGCGATCCTCCCTAAAAATGAAATTTGCAGATTTTCCCAATTTTTTAATTTTTTTTTAATCTGGTGTAATATTTTATCATAATTGTCCTCCTTAATCGAGGAACATTTCACTGTAAGCCAGATCCCTAAATATTTTATTTTCTTGGTTATATTTATCTTTGTTTTATCTTCCAGTTCACTTTCCTGTGCCCTTGTAAGATTTTTGGTTATTAATTTGGATTTATTCTTATTAATCGGCTACTTCACCAAATTCTTCTATTTTTTTAATCAATTTAAAGCCGGTTTCTAATGGATCTTCCAAAATGAATAACAAATCATCAGCGAAGGCCTGGACCTTATATTCTTCCTTCTTAATTTTTAAACCCTTTATTTCTTGGTCCTCTGATTTTTGTCAGGAGTATTTCTAATGATAAAATAAATAGAAGAGGAGAAAGTGGGCATCCTTGTCTTATTCTTTGGTTATATCATTTTTTTCTGTCATTTCATCATTTATAATTACCCTAGCTGTTTGTTTAGTATATATTTTCTCAACCATCTTTCCAAATTTTGTCCCAAAATCCATATAGTACAATTGTGTTATAATAAACTTCCAATTCAGATTATCAAATGCCTTCTGGGCATCAAGAAAAACCAGTGTACCTTGTCTTTCAGGATGGACTTCATAAAATTCTAAAGTGTTCATTATTATCCTCATATTATTTTTTATCTGTCGTCCTGGTAGAAATCCATTTTGATCTGGGTGGATGTAGTTATTCAAATTTTTTTTAATCCTTTCTGCTATTATTGTTGTAAATGTCTTATAATCTGTATTCAGTAAAGAAATCGGTCTATAATTTTGAATTTGTTGTAGGTCTGAGTCTTTCTTAGGAATGAGGGTGATGATTGCTTCATTCCAGGTTGTCAGTATCTTCACTCCTCCAGCACCTCATTGTAAATCTCCAACATTATCCATTGTAATGACTCTTGTGTATTTTTATAAAACTCAACCGGAATTCCATCTGGGCCTGGTGATTTATTGTTTTTTTGTTTTTTCAATGCTGTTTCTAATTCTATTGCGGTTATTCATCTATTCAATATTTCCTTTTGTTCTTCGGTGATTTTGCTCATTTTTGCTGCCTCTATATATTGTTTGACTTTATCAACTGCTACATCTTCCTGATGGTATAGCTTTGAAAAGAAATTTTGTATTATTTTCTTTTTTTCTTCCCATCTATAGTGTACTGATCCACTTTCGTCTTGTAGTTGATGTATTGTTCTTTTGCCTTTTTCTTTTTTTAATTTATAGGCCAACCATCAACCAGTTTTATTCGCATTTTCAAAGTAATTTTGTTTCGCCATCCTAATTTTCTGTGCCATTTCTTTTTGTGTTGTCAGGTTAATCTTGTGTTTTATAATATTCCATTTATCTTTTATCTTTTATTTTGTGGGTCCTTCTGTAGATCACCTTCTATTTCTTTTAGTTCTTGTAATTTTCCTTGTTGAAGTCTCCTATATGTAATTGTCAATCCCCGAATGTAAGCTTTTGTAGTATCCCACAGGTTTTGTGTTGATGTCTCTTCCTTTTTATTTACCTGAAAAAATAATGTCAACTCCTTTTCTAGCATCTGTATATATTGTTTATCTTTACACAGTCTTTGATTCATTGACCATCTTTTTCTCTGTTTCTGGCCTTTCCATTTTATTATTATTGGGTTGTGATCCGCCCAATCATTAAGCCCTATTTCAATTTCCTCTATCCCGTTTTGTACTTCTGAGGTTGCCCAGGCCATATCGATCCTAGACCAAGATTGATGCAGATATGAATAGAACGTATATTATTTGTCTGACCTGTGTGTCTCTCTCCATATATCCTGAAGGTTGAGTTCTGTTACCATGTCAAAGAACGATTTTGGTAATATATTTTTCTTCTTTTTGTTCTTTTTACTACTCTTATAATCTTTCTTAACATCAACTATTGCATTTAAATCCCCAATTATACAAATACTTTCATAATCCAGATCCACTAGTTTCTTATGTACCTTTTTAAAAAATTCATGTTGATTATTGTTTGGGGCATATACTGCCGTTAATAAGATTTGTTTTTGCTCTAATTCTATTTTCAACATTAAAATTCTCCCCTCTTCATCCGAATATATTAATTTTGATTTTATTTTTTCTTTGACATATATAGCAATTCCTCCTTTCTTGTTTTGTGCTAATGTTGTGTATAGTGTTCCTAATTTTACATTCTCTAGTAATTTTCTATAATCCTTTTTTATATGAACTTCCTGAAGACATATCACATCTGCATCCAATTTCCTTAATTTGTTAAACGTTTGTACTCTTTTTCTTGGTATATTTAAACCATTAATGTTTACAGAGAAGAGCTTAATTGCGTCTCTCATTTTTTACTTGATCTATTTTTTTTATGTTTCTTGTCTTTATTACCCTTCTTTTTGCTCCTTCTCTTTCTAACCTTTCTCTTTCTTGTATCTTTTGTATTTCTCTTTCTCGTTCAACTTCCTCTAATAAATCTTAGTCCTGACTTTTACTCTCTGGCTCTTCCCTACTTTCTTCTCCCTGCGTAAAGTAACGGTCATAAAAGTCTTGCGCTTTCTCAAGTGTATCTATTTTATATTTTTTTTTCCTGCCAAGTTAGAAATATGCCTTCAGGTATTAACCATCGAAACATAACTTTATATTTAGTTAATTGGGTCGTTAGAAATTGGTATTCTCGTCTCTGGTTTCGTATTCTACGTGGTATTTGTTTAAATACAATTATTTCTTTACCCTTATATATTATTGGTTCGTCTCTTGTTTTTTTT